TGTGAAAATCAATCTATTCTTTCTGAGAGATTTAAGGACAAAGTTTAAAATCTTTTTCATTAACTATAGAGAAAGGTATTTTATTAACGATAATCTTCGTGTCAAAATCTCTTCATAAAAGACAATTCAGCGGCTTTATATATTCAGAAGAAATTTAGAGGCTGGAAAGGTCACAAAGATTTTTGGCACTTCGCCAGAAAGTTGTAAAGATACAGGTATCTTGCTATTTGTCAGAATTTGCTTGCTTGAAAAGATACAGGGAACTTCCCTCTTCCCTCTTCCCCCGTCAAATCCTTATTTTCCGTGTCGGTTTATGAGATGGAATGTTTCAAAATTGTTTTCTTTGCCTTCTTTATCAGGCCTGTGTCAGAGGTTATCAGGTCAGGAAGAATTACAAGTTAATCTGTTGGGCTGTTGGTGTTCTAGATAAGGTTGTACTTCGTTAGCGACGGAAAGGTGTTGGCTTGCGATGTTTTCGCAGTGAGCCGGATTCCATTGATGAAAGTGAAGATGAGGGCATTCTCAAAAGTGTTCCGCAAATAGAAAGTGGGCTTAGCTGTTGATGAGGCTGTCTCACGTGTGTTGTCTGTGGTTGATTCTCCAGATGGACGTCAACAATATCGCAGGATGCTTGAAAGATATCGCCAAGCTAAGGTAAGTTGACCTACTGCTTTGAATGATCTGTTGACTGTAGAATTTATGATATTGGTAGCAAGGAGTGGTCACAAAAGATTTAAAACACACAAAATCCTAAACCTACAACTTATCATGGACGTTTTTGCTTTAGAGGGTGACAAATTTCCGGTTGAAAGTGTTATTCAAGACCCGAATTTTCTCCCTCCAAAAGTTATGCTATTGTTTTAATGTCCTGGTTTTGGAACTTCTTTTGCAATGGGATTATAACTCTAAATATATTCAACTATTCTTGCAGACTGAACTTGTTAACACAAATGAACCAGCGGCATCAACTTCTGTAGGTGATATTTATGATATGGAAAGTGATGATCTTTTCTATTTTCCATGGGAGCATCTTCTGATCACTCTAAACTTCTTCTTCTTAACCTAATTTGATAATTTCCTGGATTGGTTGTATAATGGCCTGCATTTAGGCGTAGTCGCGTAACTTGTAACTTGGATTGATTTGCCTATTGTTCCTGCAGTTGTGCTGTATATGCTTCTCGCAATTAGTAATTACTATAATTGATTTCTGATTAGGGATGTCAGTCGTGGATATGGGAAGAGTAAAAATTCCGCATCCTTATCCTTGAAATTTTGTGTTATACTCGTATTGTGTCGATATGGTATTTCAAATCTATCTTTATCTTTATTTTACGGATTTTTAATAGGTATAAGTAATCGTTATTTATGTCGTAACTTTAAAAAATAAAAAATTTAAATTTAAATTTATTTTTTGAATATTTTTATTTTTATCTTGTATATTTAAATAATTTTTATAAATATATTAATATTTATTTTTCAATAAAAATATATTAATTTTAATTAATGTAAAATAATAATTTATATTATTTAATAAAAAATTTATTTATTAAATATATATAAATATATATAGGATATAAGTATGGGACGGATGTTATATTATTTCTCTTAATCTTCATACTCAATAAAAAATTAAAATCATATTCATTTCAATCATTATACCTATAATATAATATTCATTCACATCTCCATTAAAATAAAAAATTTAATTTTTTACTAGATATGAATAAAATTTACATCTCTATTTCTGATAGGGTTGATTGATCTTTTGTGACCTAAAATTCCCTAAAAAATGCCCTTGCTCTATTCCTTGTAATTTGCAACAAACAATATATATATATATGTATATATATTGTTGTTAAGTTGTAATCCACCGTCAAGTAGAGATGAGCAATTAATCAATTTAGTTGATTTGGTTTAAAAAAATCAATAATCGAATTAATTTATTTTCATTCAACAAATAATCGAATTAATAAAACAATTTTAAATAACCGATCATAAATAAATCGATCAAAATCGATTTGATTTGATCGATTCAATTAAATAACTGAATTTTTTATTTTTTTATTATAAATAATTATTTAATCACAAATTTAATCTAATAAAATTAATATGTGAATATTATTTAAATTAAATTATTAAAAAATTTAATAATTTTAACAACATTTTATAAAAAATAAATAAATAAAAATATTCATCTCAAATTTTTATTTTTATTTATTAAAAAATTAATTAAGTCGAAATATTTGATTATTAATTTTAAAAATTAGAAATCGATGAAGTTAATCAATTTAATCAATAAAAAAAATTGATTACAATTAAAAATAAATGAACTGAAACAAATCAATCAAATTTATTTAATTATAGTCGATTTAATTGTTTCAAACCGAATTTTGTTACTCCGGCAAGAATAGGCTGTTTCGAGCACTCCCATATGGGCGAGTGGACCTGGCAAGCTCACTCACATCATTGCCGAGTGACCCCAACTTTCGTTTAGCTTTTGGAAGTGGCAACTTCCACCTGTCGAAGCTCCAAGCCAAGCAAATTATCAAGCAGCATATTCATCCCCCCAAAATAGTGAAATTTCCATCTCTCAACCTTATCGAGTAGAATCAATGAAGATATTGAGCTGATCAATCTGGCAATCCAGAAACTCATTGAAGAAAACACAATCAAAGATACCTCTGGGGATAATAAACTCTCTGAAGACGATGAGCAGCTCCTCTACAGATTGCTCTCTCAGGTAGGTACATGACAAATCTAAAACTAGAACAAAAATAGCAACTTCATAGGAATCAACCGGAACCTCGTTTTTCGACTAATTTACCTTCCTTTTCCCTTGACATAATTAAAGACGGATGGGCTTCAGAGACACCAACCCCATAGGTTAAATCCCCTGTAAGATGGATTTTTATTGTCTATATCACTGTTTAACCAAATTCAAACGGTATAGATATCTGATCTGATGTAATTTTTACAACTTGGGAAAAAGGAAATTGATGTTGTCTTACTTTTGTTTAATAGTTAGAATCATTAGAAGGAAAAGGTAACGTCCCGAAGGGTTGATAAAGCAGGGCAAAGAGTGAAAATGGCAGTCAAGTGGAAACTGGATGTAGGAAAATTGGTAGATAGTGAAAGAGCTTAAAGCTGTTAAGAGGCAGAATACTATAACTCATTGCCTGCTTTCAGTGATGATTGTTGTCACTGTAATCTGGCAACTCCCTGAAGTGTCTCTCTCTCAAAGTTAAAAAAGGTTTGAGTCACCATTTTAGATCATTTGGAAGTATACTTGTAGGAATGCTGCCAAGTCCTGAGATTAACATCCATGACGGAGAGAAACGTTCTCTATCTACAAAACACGACGATATTCTCCTTATTGACCCTTCACTCTCCTCTGTTAAAATTCCCGACCTTCCCCACATTGAGTTTCCACATTTGGGATCAAGCAGTGGACACTGAACCATTGAAGGTTTGAGTAGATGAAATTTATACTTTTTTCTCACTTTTATTTCTTTGTTCTGTTGAAACGTTAGTAGCAAAGTACGATAAACCATTTCACCGATGGGAATCAGATGGGATATTTAGGATTCGAGAAATCAAATTTCATTGATTCACACTTTCAGTTTGGGTTTCAAGAAATAAAATATTGCTGTCCTTTGTTTTTCAAATCCAATAATGTACATTTCCACTGCAAACAGTTTATCAACATCAAAGTGCATTTCTACCAAATTCAACATTGGTGGAGCACATTACTGTGCAAATAATCCCCTTATGGATGCTTGATCATCCATTATAGATAATACTGATGTCAGTTCCACCACCAATTTCCAAAATTAAATTTAATGGCCGGAGAAAATTAACTGTAATAGCACAGCTTTAAGACTACCAACAAAGTATAAATATAACCCACCCAGTTTTTAAAACCAAGGGTCCAGAACTCACAGCATGAACTAGGGTCAATCACTCAAAATAAGGAAACAAAAATTGACCATACACAATGAGCATAAGATTGCAAATATCTGTGATTCGTTAATGCAAAATCAGTTTGAAAGCTGCAAGCTTAACTAAAATAAGTCTTCAAATATCCAATATCCAATTCATAAGACAACATCTTTCACCAGCTAAACCAATCACAACAAAGAAGATTTTGAATATGGAGAACCACGGAAACCATAATGAAACATTATCAACCCAAAATTTTTTCATTTTTCATTTAAAATGCCGAAAACTTAACAGAAAGACAAGCAAACTTGTTTAAATCCTTGACATTGTATTCCCATCCCCTGATTAATGGAACTGGTTGTGTCTTCACGCATAGTTCAACCTGAATATGTCATTCAACACGTAGAAGCTTCCCTGCGGTGTTGGCATTAAATGAAACATCTAAGAGCAGAAAGCATGACAAGAGACCTTCATTAGTAAAAGTTGATAACAAGATGATGTCAAAATATCAGAACCAATGCATTGGTGGATGAGAAATCTATTAATTTCTTCACAAAAGATAAAAACATGTCTTGCACAAATAATTAGGACAACATAGAACAGTTAACTATAAACATAGACGAAACTTATACGAGTTTGAAAGCAAGACATTAGCCACAAGGAAAAAATCAATGTCTCCAGGCGAGGAGAAGAGATGTCACAGTGGATTTCTTTTATATCCTGCACAGTGTGCCAAGAGACAACATTGAGAGAGATGCCAGATAATTGTTCAGAGAGTATGCAACGAGAGTGCACTCTGTCAATTAATCATGAGAAAAACATAAGCAGGCAAGCAGAAAATATATACCAGCAAAGGCTAGCCCTTGGATAACAAACAACAGGAAACAGAGGAAATCCCTTGATTGCTGTCCATGGTAATCATACAGTTACTAACAACTACGGCACCCTAAGGCAAGATAATAGGAATACCCAGAACCCACAGAGTCCAAATAATTGTCATAAATAATGAAGATGAACATGTAAATATGCAGAGGCTCGGCAGGTTCTTTGGCGAGATGGTGGATCCAAAATATCCATATCTTTCGCAATATATTCATGACACAGTTCCACGAAATCGACAATGTTCACTATTTAGATTGCTTACAATTTTTTCCCTTCTTAATTCAATTACTACAAATTCAAAATGAATGAAAAACATGAAATTCCTGAAAATGTAATGAGCGGTAAACAGTATAGACATCACAGTTAATTCGATTATTAAGATCCCGATGAATAGATCAAAAACCCATTGATTCAATCCAAACTCCAACTTCCACCAAATCGCACCGCGAAATTAACACCACCGTTATGACCGATGAAATCAACAGTGGCACAAATTATCCCTAGATCGATCACGTAGCACACATCAAACCCTAAAAGCCCTAAAAATCCAAAAAGAGAAAGATGCAAGGACATAAGAGAGTTACCTGGCTGAACTTGAGAGCATGTTGTTCGCCGGCAAGTTGGAGGGTGCCACTGACGAAGACGAGCATGCCTCCGGCGCCAGAAGGCTGGCAATCGACGGTGGTGATGTTATGCTGGCACTGCTGGAAAGGAAGGCTGGTTAGCTTAGCCACGATGTTCTGAGAACCTTGGATCTTTTGACCTTCGAAGGTCAACATGGAGCCTTCCTGGTAGAGGTTGGCTAGACCGGCCCGATTCGCATCGAACGTCCTGTAGTAGTGCTCGACGAACGCCTTCGCCACTGTGTCCGGATCCATCTTTTTTTTTTTTTTTTAATCTGAGTTTGAGCGGTCGCTTCAAATTCAGAGAGCGGTTCAGAGGGTAGTGAAGAATAAATGTGTGGCTTTTATAAATAGGTATAAGTTTTTTTTTGCTCAAATAAATATATATTATATATATAGGAGGATTGATCTAACGGCAGAATTTGAATAGGAAAAAGAAATCTAACGGGTGGCTGCCTGCGTGTTTTTATTCATTCGAAGTTTTGATCAGTCACTGTATATAGTATACGCTCCTCTTTTATAGACCCTCTTTACCGTCTATCAACCAGCGGATCGCTTTTTGCGTCAATTTTACTGCATCTGAAAATTCGCATCGTTTTTGGTGTTAGATACAATTTTAAATATAATAAGAAGAAATTTAACATATGTATAATAAAAATATTTAAATAATATAAATAACTTAAATGTAAATATGATATATTTATTATTTATATTACATACGATACGATATAATTAATTTATATAAAAATAATACATGATTAATAAATTTATATTTGAATAATATAATTAAACACGATTAATTTATTTATTTAAATAAAAAATATCATTTAAATTAGTATTACATATAACATTATTTAAAAATTAAAATTTTATAATCTATTTAAATATTAAAATAATATTATAAATACGATTATTAATTTAATTTTTTTAAAAAAATTTATATTATGAATAATATCGTGTTTTAAGCATATCATTATTATTTAATATGAACACAACATAAATAATGTTGTATCTTAACCGTATTGACATAATTAAGACATGAAACAATATTATGTTAAAAACATACGATTTTTTCATGTTATTTTCATATCGTATTATCATGTTACATTTAAAATTATCATATTTAAATTTAACTCAGCCTGTAAGACATGAAACACTATTATGCTAAACACATATGATTTTTTCATGTCATTTTTATATCGTATTATCGTGTTACATTTAAAATTGTCATATTTAAATTTAACTCAGTTTGTCTACACTTTTTTCGTTAGAGGAGAAAATTTTTTACTCTATACATCTTGGATGTCAATCAAAACAATAAATCAAATTCTTGTTTGGTTGATTTTTTTTTTTTTCTAAATAAATTAGCAACATCATATTTAAAGGAGAAATGAGTATTTTTTTTTCTAAATAATGTTGTTATTATATGCTTCTTTTTTCTTCTATTCTTGCCATCACATCTCTCTTCAAAATTCATATTATTTTTAAGGTTAATTTTAAAAATATACAATGTAATTAAGGACGAAATGAAAATACCCCTTAAGGCTTAAAATCTAACACTTAACTGTGTTATGATTTGTTGATTTGTTTTTTTTCTTCAAAATTGTTACCTTTTTCATTGCTTTTGCCATTACTTTTTATTTTTTTATTTTTTCTTTTATTTTCATCTCAATTAATATTCTTTCTCTAAAAATTCATATTCTCTCTATAAAACCAAAATAATTCTCTCTCTAATTTCTCTCTCTAACCAAACCAAATACTTTGAACATTCTTTAATTTCTCTCTACCAGTTTCAACACAATGTTTAAATAAATATTAATAAAAGAAAAAAAAGGAAAAGAAAGTTTTTTAAAGAAAAAGAAAAGAAAAAAAAATTTAAAGAAAGGGAAATTATATATACATTTTGTTTAGATAATTAAAATTAATAAATGAAATGAAAGAAAAAGAATTCTAATAACTTTTGTTTAGATAAAGAGTAAAAATAAACATAAATGATTCACTATAATAATTTCTTTCAATTTATAATCTTTCATAGGTTATGATTTTAAAGCTTTCCTAGATATAATAATTCTTTTATAAAAATAAATTTTTTTTAACTTTCCTTTCCTTAGCTTTTCCCTCAAATTAAGATATTAAAAAAATAAAAATTACAATAAAAACTAACGGTTATTGAGTTTTCACCTATTTTCTTTCCTTCAAATCAAAAGTTTATCCAAACAAAAAAAATGTTTTTTGTTTCCATTATTTTTCTTTATTTTCATTTTATTTCCTTCTCCTTCTCATAATCCAAACATAGTGATACTATAAACTCAAGAACAACCCCAAAAATCAGTTAAAAAACCACCACCTGCGTTCTACTCTGTATGGCATCGTTCCTTTTTTTCCTTATCTACCTAATGGCCAATAAAAGCTTAATATCTGATAAAAGATGCCATTACCTTCATCTCTATTTGAGCACTCCAAGACACAAACCAAAATTCAAAACTTTTCAAATCGTTTCTGCCACTATTCACCACTTAATAATCCTAAAACAATATTTTTTATTCTATTTCAAAACCCTAAAGAAAATAACCCCACAATCGAAAAAAAAATACCAAAAACTCTTATAATGAATACTTTTTATTTTATTTTCAATTTTTTCTATGAGTGTTTTGCTGCTAATTTGTGTGTTTATGATTATTTGCCCATAAGTAATTGTTGATTTTGCATTGCTAAATAAGTCTTTTCTGGATTTGGTTAATTGTCGATTCTGAGTTCACTAATTGTTGATCTATATTGAGGTTTTGTTGGTAGATTCTTTGCCTTTTGTTTTGTAGATTTTGGCTTTAAATTGCTTGTTGGTTATTTTTTTAGGATTGTTAAATTCAGGTTGCTGAATTGCTTGAAATTACTCATTACCAAAATTTCTTCTCTTTTGGTTATATGCTTATCTACGTTTTGCCTCTGTTTACTCAATTGTTTTGCCTCTGCTTACTCAATTGTCTAGGTTTTGTTGAATCAAAATTATTATTTGCTGAGAATGACTTTGACTGAGTTTTTAGATTGACAAATTCATTCTCTCTCTAAAACCAAATCAATTTTTTAAAACCCAACCAAACAAAAATATTAGAGACAGAATTAATTTGGTTTTAAAGAAAGTAAATTTTTAAAGAGAAAATATGAATTGAGATGAAAAAAATAAAAAAAAGTAACCACTTTAAAAAAAAAATCAACAAATCAAAATAGTTAAGTATCACATTTTAAAATGTCACAATACTTTCATTTTGATCTTAATCATATGTAATATTTATGAGGATAATGCTTATTATTATTATTGCTGCGGAGGGAAAGGGTCCATTTGCACATTTTTGAACTTCTCCTTGCTTATAACATCCAATTGTTGGGTGAAAAAATAGCCAAACTTGTATACAATAAGATAAACACAATTTCGTCGACAGCAAGGTTCAATCCTGCTCGGGCGAAACCCAACAGATTTCAAGTCTGTCTCCTTCACCGCTTGGATATATCAACTCATTACTTGGGTGTCTTCAATGCCTTTAGTAGCTTTATAATTCTTATATTATAATCGTAGCCAAACAAAGACAAGATCCGTACTGATGGGTCATGAAGAATTGTCAATTTGACCACCTTTTATCTTTTATCTTTTTTTTTTTCTTCACCCTTCTGGTCTGCAGCTAATCCAATTATTTTCTTTTTACCTAGTGTATTATGTAATATATGTCCCAAATGCAAGCATTTCCAGATTATAGTCGTGCTGTTTTCTAACTGAAAAGGTATGGTGATTTCTATCCAATTTGATTACGAAAGTAGTGACAAAAATGAATCTAGATGGCTCTCAAATTTTGCAAAAATCATGAGATTGCTCAAATAGATACATTGTCACTGTTTAAACAGACTCTTACCACTAACATGGATTCCTCTTTCCTAGGTTCAACAGACTCTTTAACATTGTTACAAAATTAAAAAAAAAAAAACACACACACAACCTAATAGAAGTACAAATCAATTATTTTTATTACAAGGTTAATGTACAAGGTGCAATCTCCCCCCCTGTTGCCGAGAAGCAAGCAACCTTCAATTCTTTTAACTGAATTGGTGAGTATGAGACACTAAATCATGTTCAGAAAAACAGCAGTATGTCTTTGAATTGGGGAGTTTTTATTACTAATGCAAGGAGGATGCAGTTTCTATATTACACTCAAGGAATAGGATTTCGTCGATGTAGACCTCTCAATAGGATTCGAACGCAAATGAAGTTCTGACCATTTATCAGAGACAAAAGAACGAATGGATCTTGTAGGATTCCCAAGAAATTCTTCGATTTCTTTTGGAAGCAGATGATTATTCATTTGCTTCATATCAAAGGGCTTTTAACTGCACAGAAATCTCAATTCACCAACCTGCTGAAAGGGTTTGGAATTGCGACCAAATTTACAAGCAAAAAAATCGCTTTGCATCTGCATTGTAAAATAAAAGAGAACTCAAATCCCATATTCAAGCATGATTCTATATTACATCTGCCACAAAACAAAATTTTCCCTGCGAAAACATCAATCAGGGCAAGATGTCAACAGACTGCTAAACAAAAAATCATGATGCTTAATTTTGTAAAGGTTTGAGAAATAATTGCTGGGTTTTCTCAGGCTTGGAAAGAAAATAAATCTTCACGAGGAAAAAAATTTGAGGGGAAATACTTAAAAAATGCAGAGTTCAACATGAGGTCAAAGGAACTCACTGTTGGGAAGATTCAGAATTTATTAAAATATCCCAAAGTATGCCAGAGTGCGGGCAGTCCTATTGATGCAATTGGCATGTCACGAGCCGAAGTCCCCCAAACAGATCCTGATCTGACACCTACTAGAAAAATCGTGAAACTTCCCGGTATAATTGCTCAGCTTCAAATGGTTTTGACACATATCCATCCATGCCACACCTTAGGCATTCCTCATGGGTAGCCTGAATAACATCTGCAGTCATAGCCAATATGCGTACATGCCAGTTTGAAACATTGTTATAAGTTTCCACTGATAAGTCTCCAAATTGAATACGATTATTGATATTCCGTTCCATATCCCGAATTCTCTGTGTAGCTTCAAACCTGTACGGGGGTGAAGAAAACACTATTAGTATTAAACATGACTATGTTGGAATATAATCACTTGGGAACTATCAGCAAACCAATAAACTACCGAAATGCAAACAGTGGCCAGCAAACATAAGACATCACAAAAGCCATCTTCAATGCTCATTGCACCAACTAGAGAAGATTTTTTTCCCCTAATTTGTTATCTTAATTTTCAAATTTTAATTCCAGATCAGAATTGCATCAGAGAGTTTTAAATGCAATAAGGGATAACATACCCATCCATTTCTGGCATTTGGATATCCATGAAACAGGCATCAAACTGGTGAGGTGGTGTAAGCAGTTCAACAGCCTCTATTCCTCTTGTGGCACTAACCACATCAGCTCCATATTTTTTCAATGCACCAGCGGCTACTTTTAGGTTCACATTGTTGTCATCTACAATTAGAATTTTTCTCCCAAGAAGAATATTCCGAGGCGACAAGCTAGGTAACTCCCCATTACGGGGATTCCCTTTGTTCCCAACACCCATGGCTCGTTGTAGAGATGCTGCTAACATGCTAGCCCTCAAGGGCTTTGGGATGACGGTCAAGTTACAGACACCAGAAGTAGTCGTATTTGCTCTGGAAGAGTTGATAGAATTAGACAAAAGGAATACCTTTGGAGGAGTACCATGATCTATTTTCTCTAAGTTATTGATGAAGAGAGTTGAACTGTTCAGATCCCTGTCCCACACTTCCTGTTCAATTAGAACCATGTCAATAGCATTATTCCCCCTGTTAATGCTAGATAAACACTGTTTCCAGTAAGAAACTACTTCAACATCAATTCCCAGTCGTTGAATATGATATCTTGACACCTTGGCCCGGACAGGTCTAGGATCCATAACTATTGCTCTCATCCCATGAAACTCTGAGGAAAAAGAGTTAGACTGGTTGTTGATTTGCTGGCTCTTGTACTCCCTTGAACTAGAGCAGCCACTGGTGAAAACAGCAGTAAATGTAAAGGTGGACCCAATCTTAGGAATGCTCACAAAACCAATTTCTCCTTTCATTAGACCAACCAAACACTTGCTTATGCTTAGTCCAATGCCCGTGCCTCCATGCGTTCGGGAAATTGAAGGACCCACTTGCATAAAAGGGGTGAAAACACGAGACTGAGCTTCTAGAGGGATTCCTTCTCCTGTATCTTCAACTGATACGATAAGATTAATGCTGTCAGAGAAAGGATGCAAGGACCCTTCTTGACTGAAAGTTCTAAATCCTTTCCAGCTCTGACATCTATCTGCGACAGCAAAACCACTCAAAGTGTTCTTGGATGAAGATTCTGTCTCAACTTCTATTGAATCAATCACCTCCTCCACAAGATGAACTGTAACAAGGATGTGCCCTTTCTCCGTGAACTGCACCAAATAAGTAAATTATAAGTTTATTGCTACTAAAGCATAGTCTAGATAAAACTGAACATAAATTGAAGCTTCTGGTTCCCTGGATTTCTAGAAAGAAAAAAAGTGTAAAAATATTCAAAGATTCTTCTAACAAGTAAGTTTCAGCATTCATATATATAATGACTTTGTTGGGTAAATAATAAAGTCATGACACTATTCAACATAACTAAAACTTTTAGATCCACATGCTTGTAAATGTGTTAACTATTCTTCCTTGGATACAAAGGAATATAGTTTTGGATACAAGGCAGAATGTTTAAATTTGAAAACAGATTGATCATGCATAGCTCTATCTCTTCCTAATAATATATAAAAATTAAAATAAAAAAAATTCTCAAGTCCTGAGAAATTTTAAATATATTATAAATAGAGAACCAACCACATACTTTAATTGAGTTTCCCATGAGATTGGTGATGATTTGTCTAAATCTCCCGGGATCTCCAATTAGCATTTCAGGCACTTGATCAGAGATGTAAACAGCCAACTGCACTCACCCACAAATTGATTATACAAAATTGCATATAGGTTAGACTCTTGGATGAACACTGCATATAGGGTAAAAGAGAATGAAAAAAGAGAGGAGAGAAGGGGGAGTAAATATGATAAGTCAGTGCAATGTAGGCATCTCACCTCTACTCCTTTGTCCTGAGACTTCCCAGAAAAGAGTGACAAAACATCATCCAAGACTGCTCGTAGATCAAACTGCACTTCCTCAAGCTCTAGCTTACCAGATTCGATCTTAGCCTGATCCAAAACCTCATTTATAAGTGCAACCAGAGCCCTTCCACTAGCTTGTGCAGTTCTGACATAATCTAGTTGTGTAACATCTAAATCCGTGTCCATAAGCATATGCAACATTCCTGTAAAAATAGTGCCTCACTGTCACAGCTAAGTAAACTTTATTCTCTACTAGTTCTTTTAATTTAATTTCTAAGCATATTTATACAATACATAGGGATAATTTCACAGAAATAGATGAAAGCTTCAAGGCTCACCCAGAACACCATTCATCGGGGTTCTGATCTCATGGGAAACAGTAGCAAGGAACTGCAAAAAGGTCACAATTAATTAGGATCAGATGCCAATAACAGGTCAGATGGCTTAGAGTATAAATCAGATATATCTTATACCTGAGATTTGGCAACATCAGCTGCCTCAGCCTGTTTTTTGAGCTCCATCATCTTATGGCAATCATCCTCCACCTTGGCAATTCGATTAACAGTTGCATGGAATATGTGCCCAACAAGTAATGCAATCACAAGGATGCCAATCGAAGTGGTTATTGCTAACCATGGCCATGGTGGCTTTTGCTTAAACCTATTTGAAGAACAAACTTAGTCCATGATTTACATTCAAGTTCCTTACATTTGAAATGTTTTTTTAAAAACAGGAGAAAAAAGAATTTAGAACCTCTCTGATAGATTAAGTTATCTAGTTTTATGGACATAGATAACAGTGAAACTTATATATAGGTTGACATGTCACTTGCAAAGGCCAATTTACTACAATCCTTTGTTATTAAGGAAATAGCAGTATTTATGTTGAACTGAAGTTAAAAACCAACAATAAAAGACCATATGAAGAGAAGGTGAACCCCATATCGATAAATGATACAAGATCTACAGACTACCTGCAGCGCATCTCATGTTTTCTGAAAGGATCTCCAAAATTAAGGTGGCTGACATGCTCCAATCCATCATCTGATACATTTGAGCCATACATACTGATAGGATAAGACTGATTAGTTGTGTCCAACACATTGACAAGGATTGTTTGTTTACTTGCAAGCTGTTGTAGCAACTTCTCCACGAGTGACTCAATATCAAACACTCCACCAAGATACCTGATTGAGCAATGATGGTATTAGGATAACTTCTCCTTAACTATCATGAATGAGATCACCAAAGCCATTAACTAGAACATTCAGGGACCTCTTGTTAAAAAGGAAAGAGCTTGTTTCACCTTTTTCTGCATGGCATTTATTTTGATTGATGTATATGATCAATTTTAGAGCCTTACGCTATTGGATTTCTTCTCCCAACTTTTACCTATTTTTTCCATGTATGTATGCATGTTTACAGAGATAAGGAACCAAATGAATTCAACTCATGCTAATTCCTATAAAACAAGGAGACATTGATTAAACATTCCATGTTACTTTTTTCATACTGAAAACATACCCATCAGTTGCTTGAATCCTCTCATTAGGAGTTGCATTTGAGGGAAGATCCCTCTTGTAGACAGCAAATGTCAAGATAACTCCAAGGCGATTTGTTTTGAGTAACCTAAAAGGAGCTGTTAGCACCCCTTTTCCTGATTTTCTTGCACGCAATACATTCTCGCGATCTTCCTGTTGGTACACAAGGAATTACAGATTCACAACCTAAGAATGTAATGAGGGAATTCAAAATTCTTTGTTCAAGCGGTGTCAAAGTGTTGAAGCTCTTGAGAGATTGAAAATACTTAGTATTCTTCCAAACTAGAAAGTAAGCTAATTAACTCTTCAGCTCTATTAAGCTTAGTACAAGTTACTGAGGGAAATTAGGGTTTCTCATCTATGCCATTTTCTTTAATTAGAAATAGTACAACTTTCAGTGATATCATCGGTATTGGTTATGGCTGGAGAAAAACCATAAGAACATTTTAGAAAATAGTAAAAGAACCTACCTTGCCTGACAGCACATCAATAGAAACCACATGTGAAATGATATCTTGTGCAAAGATAACAGGAGCATATTCTTCCTGAATCGGTGATGGTTCCAAGAAGTCAGGATTATAATCATCCTTATGAACTGGATTTTGTTCAAGGGTATCCATCCTCTTAATAGTCCAGCCCTGTTGCTTCTCAAATTGCTCCCTTTCAGAGTGGAGCACCCTTACAGCATATGCAACACCACTTGTGAGGGGCCTCTCAAAAGCAGTTCGTTCGGTGTACCTTGCAAAAGTCCTCTACAGTTCTTAAAGTGAGTTTGCTTTGTTGACTAAAAAACAAGTGATCATAATGAATAACTAAAAAACTCAGATCTGTTTGTTCTACGCTTAAATAATCGTGTTTAACGTTCTTAAGCAGAAATGGGCATCAAGTTAGCAAAATTCTTATTTGATCCAAAATCAAGAGTACCAATTTTGGTTGAAATTGCATAATTATAGGCAATCAATCACATCAGGTGAGTACCCCAGATTAATCCACATCAAGTAGCTCAATTGCCAAAAGCAACAAGTTTGACACTTTGAACTCAGCACAAGATGAAGAAGACACTAACTGATGGCAATCAAGCACTACAAATGCATAATTATCTATCTCAACTAGTTATATTATCTTAACTAAAAGTTACAAGAAGATGATTTAACTTACCTGATCTATAGCAGAGGGGTTTTTGCCATGGTGGAAAGTTGAGATCAAAATGGACATAGCCTGGATATGGTTCATGCTTACATTAAACTGATCCTGCAACATCCTAGCTCTCTCATCACACATGCTAGCAAGTGTCTCCTTCATCTTTTCGGTAGCTTGAGAGCTCATATAACAGTAGATCCAAATAGAGGATAACGTCCAACCAATTACCCATGAAAACAAGAGCTTTTTCCACCAAGTTTTGCTAACTCTCCTGGAACCAATATACTGGTAGTAGTGATGTTGGATCTTGAAGTTATAGCTTGAGATTTTATCCCAGCATTTGAACCACATCTTGCTACCACTATCACCGAGGAGACCAGCCTTGGTGTTCTTAAATTCACCATTATTGAAACAATTCTTGGAAATCATAGCTGCTACCCAGCAACATAACAACCAAAGCAGATGCCCCAACTTTAAACCAAAACCAAATACATGGAGCAGACTCATCCAAATAACAGTGACCAATTCCCAGCTTATTGAAGAAACAGTACTCCTAGACTGACGTGGGTCTTGCTTGTTAACTCTAGCTAGAAAGAGAGAGACCCTCTGTCAAATCTATAGAAACTGTCTAGTAAAATCCAACATCACCAGAAGATCAAGAAACTTGGGATAAGAAGAAAAACACAGCAAACTCCAAATTGACTACAAGACAGACTGATTGGAAGGGGTTGTACCCGAGAGGCAAAGAAAAAGAAAAGAAAAAAGATGCCATATTATCCAGCAATATAGCCTACTAACTAAGAAATGCAAATACAAGGCCCAGAATTGACGAAGATAAAGAAAATTTTCTCAATTAACACAAAAAAAAAAATCAAAGAATCCTTCAAGATTCTGTGTTTCTAATTCTAAACAGAATTTGATTTTATCCTGTTAATTACCAACCAGAGTCCAGAACAAGAAATGGGCCAAATTTAGATATGAAATCGATAAAAAATAGTTAAGCTTCCCCCTCTCCCCAGGCAAAAGAATCTGACAGGAATCCAGTTTAAGGAGAGAAAGTCCTTAAATTCCTAAAATCAAGCAGGAAGACAACTATCAAACATGTGGGTATTAAGGTTTGACCCCAGAGTTCACCTGTAACAACCTGTAGAGATCCATCAACAGAATTTACAGGTGAAATAAGACTAATACAAGTAGTATATTAAGGTGACACTACCCTCACAAGTTGCTGCTGTAGTAGAAGACAGAGAACTTCATGGATATTTAAGAATGAAGGAACCTGTGAAAGAAAGATGAAAAGAAAATAGATAGAATTGTCTGCTAGCATAGGCCATTATCTCTATCCATTCCATACCATTCACCCCCAATCTTTTTTTATTCTTTAAATATGCAAATTATGATTAATTTAATAAAAGATAGGAAAGGCATACTTCCACTCAGAAGAAAATGACTCTTTTGGGTTTTTCCTTTACCTTGTGATCGCATCCCCCACCATCCGGAAGATAAAATTTAGCCAAAATTTTTAGGTTTTTAATATAAAAATTAATATATTTAAAAAATTATTTATAATTTAAATTTAATTAATATTTATTAAAAAGTAAAATTTTAAATATTTTACTAAAATATATATTTAAAAAACATATCAAAATTTATTAAAATTTTATATATTTAATTTATATGATAAAATTTTTAATTTTTAATTTAATTATTTATAATAAATAATTTTATAATTTTTATTTAAATGGTAAACAACTTCATTTAAATCTTTGTATGGTTGTACTTTAGGTTGACAAAAGTACCCTTGCATGTAAACAAAATATCTATTAATTGACATTAACCATTTTCGCACCCATTTTGGCATTAGATGCCCTGCGCTTTTGCAAAATTGCGAAAACAGGACCGAGTCAAAAGAGTAGGTAAAGAGACCAAGCCAAAGCCCACCCCTGCCTTTCCTCTGCTGCTTCTCTTCCTTTTCCATGATTGAAACCTCTCTCGGTGTTATTATGCTTCTGCAGATAATGGAATCTAGGTCAGGGGACTCTGTTTCGTTACAAACGCTCACTATTTTCCAGCTTTCACTACTTGCTAAAAGCCTAAATATCCCATTTTACTCGTTTTGTCCTAAGCGAAATAATCATGTCACAGTAGATTTACCCTTTAAATTAGGATATTTATAGACATTATAAATATTAATAAAAATAAAAAATTTTATTTTTATTTATTTTTAAAAATTTTTAATTTTTTTCAATAAAACTAATAAATTTATCGTAATTGTTATATATTATAAATAAACGTGATTGTATCACAAAAATACATATCTTTCTTCCAAATGTTTTTCTTTAATGACATGATGATGGCAATTGGGATGGGATTTTTACACACCAAAAATGTAATATTCCCTCTATTTCATTTTTTTTGTTTTTTTTTTAATCTCAAAATTATATATAATTTTTAAATATTCAAAACTTTTATATTTTTATATTTTTTAATATTAAAAATCATAAAACTTTAATTTTATAAAAAAACTTAAATTTTAATGTTAAATATATTAAAATCAAACTTATTTTTTTAATTTCATAAAAATTAATATGCGATAAATATTTTAAAATGGAAGGAGTAATTCTTCTTTCTTAACCTCAGCACATTTTTAACATGTTTAAAAACAAAACAAGATAAAACCCATCAATCATAGAACAAGCTTTACTGTACCAAAAATCAAAAGAAGACAAGGGAAATGGGTTTGGAGTTTGTTGTAAATAAGGAGCTAGCGGAAGGGGCAATGTTGTAAAAAGATGGGATGATTGTTGGCGACAGCAGTGACAAAACAGTAATTAAGGAGAAAAGGCCGTGGCGAAAAGGAAGGCACTTTAATGAAGGCGAAGTCACGAAGCGGGTGATTACTGATTAGGCCATCACAGCCCACTTCTTTATTTGTGGCTTTGGGTGATAGCGATGCCCCACGTTAGCGCGCCGGTTCTCTTCTTTCTCCACCCAATCCAAGGCTCCCACGTGTAATCCCTGTAACGGGCATTCGCTTTATCTGGTGGCACCCGTGGGGCTTTCATTTTCATTAATTATTTGATTGAATTAATTATTTATTGATCATGAAAAAGGCTTTTCCACTATAATTTCATTTCTTTGTATTTTTTATGACCGGTTTCATCGATTTGTTGATTGGCTTTTTTTATTTGGGATAGCTATATATATATATATATATATATATGTTTTCCAAGCTTTGTAAAGTCACCATCACCTTTTGTCCTTGTGTAATTAACTAGTTTTTGTTTGGTTAGAGATGTATCTTTGAGGATGAAGTATTCTTTTGTCCTGTTATTGATATTTTGGATTACATCAATTCAAAGGTTGAATTATTTAAGATTGAAGGTTTATTTAAATTTTAAAAAGATGTTGAGAATTAAAATTTATTAAATAAATTTGGATATAATTTTTAAATTTATTTAAATTTTAAATCATATTTTAAACAAAAAAATTAAATTTAAACTAACCTAAATTTATATATGTATAAATTATATATATGTGAATTATATATGAATTAAAAATAATATATTTTTATTTTTATAAAAAAGTTAACAAAATAAAATATATCTCATTTTTTTAATTAATTTTTTGTATTTTTTAAAAAATTTTATTAAAAATATGAATCATCTTATTAATTTTATAAATAAAATTAAAAAATTTATTATTAATATATTTAATACTTTTTTTAACATTAAATAAAAAAATTGTTCAAACGCGAAAAACTCGGTTTAAATTTGCAAACATCGAAAGCAATCGAAGATGAAAAAGTTGAATGTTAGACCAAAAGCCGAATGATTAAACAGACTTAGGTCATTCTCATGAACCCTGGCAGCTGGCACATAGTGTATTCCATTAAGAATCAAACCAAGAGTCAAGATCACGGCATAAAGCATTGCACCCACCCATTGTCCAAAGAAACAGCTGACAAGTTGCTGTCGGGAGGATTAAACCTAAAAGGCTTTTAAAGTTCCATAAAGAAAGCATCTCTCTTTAATTTAAACCCAACCACTTTCGAGGTTTAAAACATGTTTAATTTACATAATTGTGTTTTGTTTTTGCAAGTCATTCCGGCTGTGCTGTCAGGGCGTTTAATTAACATTTCACTGCGTCACTGCCTCATACTTTCAGCTCAAAAATTATGTTCATAAGATAAAAGAAAGATCCTTAATTTATAAGCTCAAGATCATCTCATTAACATTTTCTCTCAATTAATTATCCAATGCCTTTGTTTTATAGACAAAACCTACATGAAATTTTTTAGATAAAATTTATAAATTTATTTATAAAATAATTTAATAAAAATTTTAAATCAATAAATTAATAAAATTAAATATAAAAATCAATCATATATAAAAAATTATTAAAAATATCGATTATAATTTAAATTTAACTGATATTTATTTAATAGTAAAAATTTCGTCAATATTTTTATTAAAAATATTTATCTAAAATTATTTATTAAAATTTATTAAATTTTTTAAAAAATTTATTCACTTAAATTATGTAACGAAATCTTTTAATATATTAATTTTAATTTTAATTTTAATTTTAATTTTAATTTATTATTTTAATAAAAAAATTTCATAAATTTTACCTAAAAAATTTTATTTAAATCTTTTATTTATTTTATTGGCTCTTTCACTTGTAGAGTCGAAAGATTCATTTTGATATTGATCCATCTCAATCTGAGCATCTTCTCATTTCTTATCATCATGGAATAACACCCTTATTTGACTGATTCTTTCTCTTGTAAACGAGAGGGAGTTATTTTGATCCGAATCTATCTCAATCTTTATATTTTTCATAAAACCTCACATCAGTGAAAAATTAAATAGTCTCATACTATATGTTATGACATTACACTTCCAACCTAAAAGACGTGTTTATTAAGTGAAATTCATGACACGTGTACGTGATGCAATCCTGACCATCGGATCGAGCAGACGTGGAAAGAACTAAGCCGAGAGGGCTTGGATTGTGAAGGATTAATAAATAAAGTGTTAAAAAAATTTGATTATATTTATCAGTCGTGGTTAGAGTTGCCAATCGGTCAAAATCGGGTGTTTATTTATTCGTATCGAATTCAATTCGATTTTATATTCATTAAATTTAAATTTAATTTGATTTAAAATTTTTTTATATTTAAATTCGATCAATTTAATATTATATAAATTATATTAAATTCGATTCAAAATATAAAATATTATTTTTTAAAATATAAAATATTATTTTATATATAATTATATAAATATATATAAATAAAAAATTAAATAATTAATTAAAAAATTATTTTTTATATGATATTAGATTGAATCAAATTTATCTAAAATTTAAATCCGATTTAATTTTAATTTTTTTAATTTTATTTTATCTAAAATTTAATTTTTTGAAAAAATTAATCGATCTTAAACAATCAAATTAAAATTAGTAGGGTCAGGTTATCGATATGTTAACGACGATGATATATT